AACCCTAAACCCTAACCCCAAACCCGTGGCTCGAAGCTCAGAATTCTCAGAGAGCTGTGAGGTGAGATGACCCCAAAGCCGAAACCTCCGTACCTGCAAACGAAAATGGTAAGAGGCGCGTTCTTGAAGTTAGGAGGAATTCTTAAATTGGGCTTCCCCTAAATTCGAATCTGCGAATAAGGGTTTTCAAGAATTCATAGTTTTTCTGATCTGAGATTGCCCGTTGTTTATCGCACTTGAAGTCCCTGGCCGCACCCTACGGGTCCACAGCTCCCAACCACTAGGCACTTGAACAATTTCAGAACAGAAGCACCTGCGAAAGGCTCTGGCATGTCGCGTGCCCATGCATACAGTCCTCTCTGCATCGATGATGTGGGATGCTGTCATGTGCAGCACCCAAGAAAACCGGAACTCGCAAAACAAGACAGCACCCCTCTGCCTCGCGGGAGGACCGCGTCGACAAGTGGCTCGTCATGGCTTCTTCGGCTTATGTTCTGAGTACTGCGTTCATGATGGCGGTCTTGGCTACAGATACTCTCCAGTACAAGGTTTCAGACCATTGCAACGAGCCCTATCAGGCCCTGACGTAGCAACATTGCCTAAGCCACACCCTTCCCACACCGGCTTGACACTTCAGGTGTCTCGGGGTGCAGTCTGTCAATGCAGAGCTTAGTGCGGTGTTCTTTAAGTCTGGTGGCTCTGAAGGACTAGGGTCGTCCACGCAACGTTGCTACACAGATTGTGCAGAAAGTCCGCAGTCTTGAACATGTCACGTATGTCAGTACATCGGCCTGGAGCAAAGCCTGCAGGTGGGCACTTCGGCAATTCACTCGTTGCAAGTGGTTTGGGCTGGCGGATAGGGTTGACGGTTTAATTACAGCAAGCATGCATCCTCATACTCCTGTGTCAAGCATCGTACCCAACTTGACATGTCGTGCTGTGTTGCAGATTGCCTGTGTACCTTGCGATGGTATAGAAAGTCTTGCCCACCAAGGCCAAGGAGTTTACGCCAACTTCGATGGACGTGACAAGCGAAAAGACCCACTGCCCCGAACCCTAGACACCCTAAACTCAGGTAGATAGCCTGAACCCTAAGCCCTGGACCCTGATGCGTTAGGTTTTCTTTGATGATTCGCCTAACATGAAGGTGAGCATATGACCATTACAAGCAATTGGATTTCCAGCCCCTTCACGAAACTTTTGTCTCGAGTCTCAGGTCCTTTTGGTTCAGGGGGCTCAGGGTACACCACTAAACCCAATCTACCTCCCAAAACACAGGGGCCCTGATAAATGGAATAGAGTTTTGGGTATGTTATAGTAGAGGCATCATAAGGAAGTTTCAGGAATAATATTGGTACTGATTCAGGCTTTTATACTACTAGGTTCCCCGGTAGCCTCTTAATAACAAGGGTACCCTTTTTCCTACTATTTGGTTATAATAAGGCAGCCCAAGAAAGAACAAGGGGCAAAAGGGTACTACTGGGGAACCTAGATTACTTCTTAAACCTAAGCTGCGACCTTCCCCACCTTTTGAAGTCTTCCGACAACTTCAGAGCCTGAAAAAAGTAATAAAAAACACCCACCCTAGTCAGTAGAACAGGGTGTGGGCGAGCATGTTAACCTTTAGTGTGGCTCAGGCCTTAAAAGATAATATTGTAGTAATTACTTAGGCTTCTATATGACAGAACTCATGAAAATCCTGTGATCTCACGGCTGAACTTAAGCCCATAACCTCTGCTGCAAGGTACGGACATTCCACTTACGAATTCCGGCTGCACTCCGCCTGTCTCTCTCCCAGTCTTATGCTCTCAGCCTACAAAACTACTTTTAGTCCTTTGGACCCTCAGGGCATCGAAGACCAAACCCTCCCAGACTGAGAAACCCGGCTGGATCCAAGCGGCGGCTTCCTGCCCTGTCTGCGGACGGATGTTTCTCATCGCCGCGAGGGCTCCTTCAGTGGGGTGTCTTATCGGTCTCCAAACACCTATAAGGTTCAGGCTTAGGGCCACATGGGGTTTTGATGAAACTGCGTTTCAAGGTCTCTCAGCTTTGATGTCATCGGGCCTTTTCTTTACGGGGCACGCAGGGGAGGCAGGGACGCTGGGATGGTCATTGACAGTTTCGAGCCCTGGCTTCATGTGGCTTGTGTCAAGAACTGTACCGATAGCAGCCCGGGACCGAAACCCTACATCTTAAACAAGCGACTCCTAGTCTTAAACCCCTGAACCCTGCTGGGGACTACTCATAGTCTTCAAGGTCGAGAAAGGTCCTTGGGATGCCCTTGACCCGTCTCAGACCCTCAGCATCGCGGCAGCTGTGTATTCACCTCCCTTAAGGTCCTGCATACAAGTGTACGGTTCATACCCCTAAACCCTAAACCCTCAACCTAAACCCCAAACCCTAAACCCTAAACCGTATACCACCGATCTCGTGTTAAATGTTCCGTCCTAAGCCTTCTTGAAGCGCTGGCAATGGCTTACAGAAACCCCAAGGATGGCTAAGATCTTTCCTAAACCGTAAACCCTGAACCCTTAACCCTAATGTAGAAGCCTTAATAATTAGGGTTCAAGGTTTAGGGGTTAGGGGCCTTAATAATTAGAATAGGGTTTTGAAATTTTGGGGGTTCCTCATAATATTAGGTATATTCAACTACGTACACCCATTATAGGTATATTCAATTACACCCCAAACCCTATTCTAACTATTAAGGCCCCTGAATAAACCCTTAATAATTTGGACAGGGTTTTGGGGCCCATTATACCATAGTTATAGTAAGGAACCACCAAAGCAATATAGGCAATTATTAAGGCCCCTATATTAAACACCTGCACTGGGCCCTGCAACGCTAAAGCTTCTGCAGGATCGTGAGCAGGGGAACCGGGTCTTCAGCCGAGGTACCGTCGAGACTTTACTACGGATACTGGGGTCTAGGGTGTAGGGTTATGGTTTAGAAGGTTGAGGGTGCGGGGTTGTAAGTTTGAAGTTTCGGGAGGGGATGGGGGGGTGGTGGTGGGGGGGTGGCAGGGTTTACGGCACGATATATAGACCGGCAACAAGTCCAAACCCTAGCCTGCTCGACAGTACACCCACCGAACTTAGCGCAACATCCTACTCCACACACGGACCCGGAATCCTGAACCCAAAAGGCTTACCCTAAGGCTCTACGGCCTGATATTGTTTAAGGCTTTCCGGCTATTCTGAGCGAGAGTCTGACGGATCACATCTCCATTTAAGCCTGGTAAAGTAGAGCCCTAGCTCGTCTACGTCTAGCAGAACAGAACCCTTGCAGCAACCACTAATATAGGGGGCTTAATCATTAGACTCAGGTTTTGGGGCCCATCATACTATAATTATAATAAGGAACCCCCAAGATAGTATAGGGAATTATGGAGATCCCTATACTACACCAATCAAATATTGCTCATAACATGGGTTGCTCGGGGCCTCCTCGGTTGGCGAAGGCCCGCGCCCTGTGCAAAGGCGGACCTGCCAGGAGCTGCCCTGGGTCTTTGAGAGGCGCGGGGGATCACATGCCGCATCAAGGGCTTCGTCCGATATGCCGTATAAGAGGACTGCATTTGTGTCCGTGTATGTACATAAATGTGTGTATATATATATATACACATTTCTTATCTGTATACCGATAAAGTTATACATATGTATATATATATATATACATGTACATATATATATATATGTACATATATATGAACAAAAATACGAGCATACAAGTGCCTGATTATATAGTGTTTGTAACTATAACACCAGGCTTGATCTGTGCAATTTTGCATTGCAAGTCTGAACAACTAAGATGGTCATCTGTTTTATAGCATATACATATATACATACGCACACACATGTTATATATATATATATATATGCATGCATGCGTGCATGCATGTATGAATGTATGTTTACATGTATGTATGTATGTATGTATGCATGCATGTCTGTATGTATGTATGTATGCATGTGTACATGTGTGAGTATATGCATGTGTACAAGTATGTGTATGTATAGCTGTATGTATATTTATGTGTATATATATATATATATGAATCTGTACGTATATATGTACATGTACATGTATATGAATATGTACATGTATGCGTGGTTGTACGTGCGTATGTATGCATGTACGTATGTCTGCACATCGTTTATGCATGTATGTATGTATGTATGTATGTATGTATGTATGTATGTATGTGTGTATGTAGGTTTGTATGTGTGTATGCATGTATGTATGTTTGTATGTTTGCAGGTTTGTATGTATGCACGCATGCCCAAGCTATGCAAGTATGCCGTTAGTTATGCATGTGATGATGCATGCAACTGTGTAAAAATGTAGTTACGTATGAGCGCATACACAAATGTACGATTCTGCATGTCGCTGGCATGTCTGCATGTATGTCTGTATATACATATATACATGATTTAAACCAGATGGATACATTAAACTTACGAATTCATGTGTGCAGTACGAATGCATGTGTGCAGCACGCATGCATGTCGGCATGTTTCTTAAGTTAACGTCTCGGATAGTTGTGCAAGGTCGTGAAAATAGGTGGGCACCTGGGACTGTCATGCCTATCGCCGGCACCACCACCAACAACAAGACGAAACTCCTACTGGTTCTGTTACTGCTGCTGCCTTTGCGGCTGCTCCTGCTGCTGGGAGTGCGCACCACCACCACCTCAAGAGTAGTCTACCGCTACTGCTAAGGCTACTGCTGCTACGACGACGACTACCACCACTACCACTTACTGCTACTCCAACTGGTGCTGCTGCTGCTACTGGCCCTGCAGCTGGTACTGCTGCCGGTAGTGAACCCCATAAACCCGATGACTCTCCGGATCCTGGCGTGTAGCCTCGGGAAGGGGCCTCGCCCAGAACCCTACACCCTCAACCCTAAACCCTAAACCCTTAAGCCCTTAAACCCTATAAACCCGTAACCCTAAACCTTTAAACCCTATAAACCCTAAACCCTAAACCCTCTTATAAAGCATAAAACCCAACACCCTTAAACCCTTAAACCCTTCAAACGCTAAAGGCCCTAAATCCGGACCAGCTGCCTGGCTTAGGCTTTACACGGTTTAGAGGATTTGGGATCTGGGACGGTTACCTGGGCCCTAAAGAACCTACCGTTTCGGGGTAAAGGCAAGTTATTCAAGGTTATGGTCGGGTCTATAGGGTTGGGGTGTTGGGCTGAGGGTTTATGTAGTGGCTCCTGTCCTTGCCCCTCTTTGGAACTGGTCTCGTTACTGCTCGGACTTCTAGCTACTCAAACCTGCTCACCTTGTACTGTGTACGACTTCTGTGCACTGCTTGTTTTTGCTGTTTGGCCCTCACTGCTACAAGGTTTAGGTTACGTGCTGCTGGTAGGACCATGTGCTAAAGGCTGAAGTGGCAAAACGTCCCTGCAGACTCCGAGATTACTGTCTGAGGCTTCAGCAAGAGGCAGCCCTTGCTCCTTCATTTCGGACATCAAGTCGGACAGCTCTTGCACCTTTCGCTTCTGCCCGGAAAGCTTGGGCTTGTTGGGGTATTGGGTTTAGGACCGCTCTAAGGCAAAATGGTGTCTGACTCTGTCTTCAAAAAGCGCATAGGTCCATGTCGCCTTGTCAACACAAAAAACGAAGGAAATCTCGGCATGAGACGAGGCATGTGCATAGACGCGTGCAGCAGCTCGCGCGTGCGGCCATCGCGCCGCCTTTTTCCTCGCTGATCAGATCACGTGACACATTGAATCCTAGGCTCGTCGCAGATGGCCGGGCGGCTCTGGAGCGGGTTGGAGCGAAGGTCCAACCCCTGCAGCTTCCCGAGCCCCTGGAAGACTTCAGGCGGGAGGCGCTGGAGCTGGTTGGAGTCAAGACCCAACCATGTGCGATGCAGCTCCCCGAGCCCCTGGAAGACTTCTGGGCGGGAGGCTTTGGAGCTGGTTGGAAGACAAGGTACAACCACTGCAGCTCCCCGAGCCCCTGGAAGACTTCAGGCGGGAGGCGCTGGAGCTGGTTGGAGTCAAGGTTCAACCACTGCAGCTCCCCGAGCCCCTGGAAGACTTCAGGCGGGAGGCGCTGGAGCTGGTTGGAGCCAAGGTTCAACCTCTGCAGCTGCCCGAGCCCCTGGAAGACTCTGGGCGGGAGGCTTTGGAGCTGGTTGGAGCCAAGGTACAACTGCTGCAGCTCCCCGAGCCCCTGGAAGACTTCAGGCGGGAGGCTTTGGAGCTGGAAGCGCCTGAGATCGAGCTTCCGCAGCTCGCCGTGCTTGGAAAAGCCTTGCATGTCCTTTTGGGAGGGCATCTTGCGAGTCGGCGGGCAGAGATTGCAGGAGAGATGCAATTCTTGGAGTTTCGGAGCCAGTTGTGCCAAGTCAACCAGGTGGTGCAGATGCGCCGCGTCCTCGAGCGACACCGACAGCTTGACGAGGTGGGCAAAAGCGGCCTGCTCAAGGATCCACACAGATCGCTGCCAGCTGCGGCTACGCATGAAGACACAGACTCGACAAAGTGCAACTTGCTTGCCTTTACCTACTGAGCTTGTCTCCTGACATCAACTTTTGAGCTCACGCAGCCGAATAGCGAGTTTTC